CCACAATCTGCGCACTCATGTCTTTCCCCACTGTGAATGCTCTGATGATAATTCAGTCCAGAGGCACTGCGAAACGTTCTTCCACATGCATTGCACTCATATGGCCTTTCTCCAGTGTGAACTCTCTTATGACGACGAAGGTTGGATATTCTGGTAAAATATTTCCCACATTCCCTGCACTCATATGGCCGTTCCCCAGTGTGAACACTCTGATGACACTGGAGTCCAGATCTACCGGTAAATGATTTCCCACAATCTGTGCACTCATAAGGTCTTTCCCCAGGGTGAACTCTCTGATGATAATTCAGTCCAGAGGCACTGCAAAAAGTTCTCCCACATTCACTGCACTCATATGGCCTTTCTCCCGTGTGAACTCTCTGATGACGGCGAAGGTTGGATATTCTGGCAAAAGATTTCCCACATTCAGTGCACCCATAAGGCCTTTCATCAGAGTGAACTCTTTTATGAAGATGAAGGCTATACATTCTGGTAAAATATTTCCCACATTCACTACACTCATATGGCTTTTGTTCAGTGTGAATTCTCTGGTGTTGAATGAGGCTGGACCTTTGGCTAAAGAATTTCCCACATTCACCACAGTCATAAGGCTTATCTCCAGCATGAACTCGACTGTGTTGGATAAGGTTCGACCGATACCTAAAACATTTCCCGCACTCACTGCATTCATATGGCTTTTCCAACGAGTGGACTTTCTGATGATCACGAAGGTCAGAGATTCCTTTAAAACAGTTTTTACTTTCAGGGCTCACAACACGCTGCCTTCCAGTACGGACAGCTCGGTCTGGAACAAGCGTGTCGTTGCAGCCAATGGCTTTTTTAGATTCTTTCTGGCAAAGGAATTTCTCCCCGTTTTGAAATGTTACCCCAGACAAGGAGAGTTCACTTGGTTTGTCCCTGGTAAGAGGAGCCTGTTTCTGAAGTTGTCTTGAGGCAGTAAGGATGCTGTGTCCAACCTTCTGACCGGTAAAAAGCTTCTGGGACACACTGACTGTGCTGCTCTTCACAACAGAGCCCTCGTTCATACCTCTTATCAAACTCTCTGCTCTCATGTCCTGCCCATGGTGCTGGTGCGACTTTGCACTGAAATAAAATGGTTTTGCACACGCCCCACACCTCAAGAATTTCGAACTGTGTTGTGTTCCCTGGTGCTCAACAAACTGGAAAATGTCCCTCAAGACCGCACCACAATTCTCACAAGGGTGGCTCTTCTGAGAAGACACAGTTCCTTTGATCCTCTTGGCCTCTGACACTCTTACAGAAACGTTCTGTTCAATGGACGCCTCCAGACCCAGTGTTCCACAGCAGCAACCTGAACAAAAGGAATTGCTGAGTAAATTACACGTTGAGTCTATGGCAAAAGGTTATCTCACCCAGCCGTTGTGTCTCAGTGGTGGAGGGTGGCCTATGAAGCAGGAGGTAATGGTTCGATTCCTGCTCAGGGTGCATGCACGGGTTGTGGGCCACATTGCCATTAGGGGGTATTCAGGAGGCATCCAATCAATGATTCTCTCCCATTATTGATGATTACAT